AACCAAAGATAAACACATGTTGCTATCATGCAACAACACCCGAATTCAATCCAATAATTCAAATGCAAGATTTTCATTACATTGATACTGTGAAATATAAAATGATCGGTACAATGTGATTGTTCGCTAGATGCTCACTCGAATACAAAGCTTCATATTGTGACTCTCAACTAGTTATTTTACAGTAGCAATATCGAAATCATTTATTTTTACTCATCGTTTGTTCATCTAATTGTAACGTTGTTTTGAAAATCAGTAGCAACTATCTTTAAACCTACCTAGGTCTGGTCAAATAAAATTTTGGAACTAATTAAACATTTTTTTACTAATGGTGAAGAATTAATTTTTACCTGCAGCAAAATTATATAGACATAGGCAAATGTTTACAGTTTCAACATATATAATGCAGATCTGAAGGACATGAGCTTTAAACTATTTCATATAAACATTTTGTAGTGTTTATATCATACGGAACGAGCATTTGAAAGCATTGTGTAAATACCAAGATTGATTTCTCTAAATCGTGCAATATTTGTGTAGAATAAACACGCCGTTGCAATCATTCATTAAAAACACATTACAGCTACGGTCAAACTTGTTTGTTTAGATATTTTGACACATAAATAGGTATAATGGATCAAGTTAACAAACCGAATCATGAAAATGTACTTAAATCGACTTCTTGTCCAATCAATCTTCGCCATTTGGCTAGCTGCAGGACTGCTTAATTAATCACCATCATTATTCCCTGCACTGTTATTTTTGCAACAGGCCAATCAGTCACCGACTTGTGATTTTCTGCATATGGAATCTCATTCAATCTTTAAGTTAAAATTTACTTTATAAGAAGAGTAAAAAATAAAAGGGTAAGAACTTAGGGGACGCACAAAAGAAAATGCTTATCATTTCACTAAGCGACCGACTAAAAGCCTAAACTATATCTTAAGCATTTTCTAAGTTTCCGTATATTTCGCATTTCGTTGATTCTGTACATTTTTACAGTTTTACCATCTGCTGACTGAAATCAAATCTTTGAGAAATAAGGTCAAGCCATCGAATCACTCCAATAAAGCCGTAAAAATCATATCAATTCTACCAACACTTTCTCAAATATAGTAACTGATGTATAACTCAGTCTGGTTACCGATTACTGTTTCCTAGCATTCTGAATGGTATAGAACTAACTACCAGACACGCGTCCAAGCTTGCGCATGATATAGTTAAATGCCAAACCATCATAAGACAGGAATGAACAGATATAATCGCGAATCTAAATATCGAGAGAATTTTTATGATATTTACATACTGGTCAACCTTATAACAATTCCGTGCAGTATTTTATTGATTTTTTGTAAGAGAAACTTAAAAAAAATCAGTAAAATACTGCACTAATAATTCTCTTCTTTTCGGTGATGGACACTGTATTTTTAAAGAAATACATCAAAGACGTTGTTGAGGTTGAAATCAAATTGCATTTTACTTTCAGAGTGAAAACAGGTTATTTGTTTCCGAAAATGCCGTTAATTTTGACATCAAGAAAATTTAGGGAAAAAAATCAGGCTTAAAAAGCAATTGTACTATTACAAGTCATTGTCCTATTCTATTGTCCTTTATATCTAGTTCATGTATAAATTCCGAATTCCCCCAAGGGTTGGTCATTGATATTGACCAAAAGGAAAATTACAGAAAAAAAATATCAAGCATAAAAAGAAGATGTTCAATTTCACGTAATTGTCCGTTATATGTACAAAATGTAGTTCATGTAATGGAAACGAAAAGTTTCCGAATGCCCCTTAGGGTCGGACTTCCGAAAATAAACTACAAGCCGAAGGCCAAAAACACCCATTAAGATAGTCTGACGTTTGTAAGTTATACTTTACTATTCTGTAATTGTAGAGAAAACACTCATAATCTATGTTAATTTATATAAATACATTGAAAATTGCAGCTATAAATTTTAAAATTGTTCTGGTGACTTTAATGTCCAAAAAGTCTGACTGGAAAGTTTTTGCTTAAATGTATATCTAGATGTAATTTTCACGGATTTGGTGTACATTTGTAATTGACATATAATTTTTGATGTTAAAGTGTTTAATAAGATAAGTTTTTATGCGGAAGAAACAATGAAATTAATTTCATTCGGTAACAAACATCCTCTTGGGAAATACGGTTAGCACAGTTTTTTTTAAAATGCTAAATATAATTTGACGTATTTTTAAATCGAATTCTTTTTCCTTTAAAATATTTACAATTTTCGAAGTATCTGCTCAGATACTTTGATATATCCCATATTTACACTTTATACATGGCCCTGTTAAGGGTAGTTCTCATTGTCCCATATCACCCCCAAGGGTGACTGGGGAATAGAAATATGGTCACCATTGGTCTTCCTCCGACCGGCGGTAAAACCTTCGCTAAAGTGGGGCGTCCGTTTGTCTGTGCGGGATGTACAAATTCGCAGTCACGTCCGGTCAGAATGGGGACGTTAAATCCGATGCCTCGTGTAAAGAGAGTGCCACGTTCTTTGCACGTTAAGAACCCTTGCAACAACTCTTTGAGGGGTCCGTAGGTGGCCTGTTGCAAGGCCAAATTTCTGTCCTTATCGAATATACCCTCATTTTCCCGTGGCAGTCCAAATTTCACCGACCTTCATCCCGGACGGCCTCTATTACAGGACCTACCTATTGTATTTATTGATAACTTGTTCTCGTCCTGAACATGCATGAAATATTTGCCACTGGACGTTAAGCAACCAACAATCAATCATTGTCCCATATCCATAAGATGTACTTGCAGAAAGAGGCAAACCCGCAACAGCCTCGTTCTGAGATAATAATATTGTCATTAAATGTAGCTTTTCTAAGAAATGATGTATTTTGAAGATACAAAAAAAAAAGACAATATAGATAAGGAACAATATGTTTAAGATATAGAAAAGGCGAATAACTTTCAATTTTTTATACATACTTGCAAAAGCACGAACCTCGCTAAAATAAAACGGTAAACTCATTTGCTCCGGAAAGGGACTTGGTCGGTTATATATTCTTGTATTAAATTATGTTCAGACTTGGTCAAGGATTAAAGTTAGTATGTTTAACATGTGGTATGGGGAAGGGGAAAAATTAAAATTAAAACCAAATTGACCAAAAAATTTCAAAATATGTCAGGGCGTCAACTTACGATTTATGTTAAAACTCGAAAAATATATTTTATAATGTTACTTTCTTATGTTTATTTATAAAATTATTAACAATTTTATGTTTTGAACGTCTCAAACTTGCAATGATTACTGTGGCTAACCACAAAAACATTTTTAGTTTGAGTTTATTTCATTTTTCAACGGATATAGTGAATTTGATATCGCACAACGATATTAATTTTTCCTTGTATAATGATGTTAAATGAATAGTTTTCATGTTTTCCTGGAAAAATAAAACAATATCCTACAAAAATTCCTGCTTCTCGGGTTTCATTGTGGTTTTGAGTCACGTGACGTCAGCTTGACAATATAACGTAATTAATATAGCTGTCTACAAAGATAGTAGTAGAAACCTAATTGCACTGAATTAAGTAGTCTGCATTTTTATAACCCCGTTTTAAAAGTTTGTTGAATACAATGATGGGGACGTTTATATGAATATCCGTCTGTTCGTCATTCCGTCCCAATTTTTCGCTACTTCTCCTAAACCAGTTTACAGAATCTTAGAGATAGCAATACACAGTTAGAAGTTTAGTTTCGCTTTTTTGTCATGTGCAATAAAATTGATTTTTTAATAGCTGAAGAATAATATAGCCTTCAAAAAGGGTTTATATGAACATCAAGGTTGTTTTTTGCATGTTTATAGGCCATTTTTCTGTTTGATAATCCGTATTTCACATACGTACCGCCCATAGGTCCAGAAATTATTGTAGTATTTTTCAACATAAATTTGAACCCCGTACAAAATGAGGTGAAATGCATATGATTTTTTCCCCCTCTTGATAGATAAATGTGAATGGTTTCAGAAAAGGTGTCACTGTAATGAATTGAAATTATTCTTTGAACCAAATTTTGGGGACTTTTGTGACATTTTCGCCCCCCCCCCCCCTTTTTGCAATATTTTGTATCAAATAAATGCAGATTGTTGCCATGGTTACACCAAAAACAGATTATATTAGACCATTTTAACTATTGGAAATCAAATCTATGGAAGATGCTGTTTCCATACATATGCACATACATAACACAAACTTAAAGCCTTATTTGTTAGAAAGGAAGGGAAAGAGGGGGTTAAAAATTATGAGTGTCAATTGTCAGTTTTTTTCCTAACTGTGTATTGCTACCTTACTCACATGATGTACTTTTATCCCTCCTATGTCATATCGTCATCCAATTAATTTACTTTGGCATAACATGGCCTCATATCCTAACACTACAATATACATTTGCACCCTTTTCCCATCCTAAAATCCTGATACAACAGTGCACATGTGTATCCTTCTCTCATTCTAAAGCCTTTACCAGAATTTAAAAAAAACCTTCTCAAATTCTTTCCGTTACAATGGCATTGAGCATCTATTGTTTTGTTTATCGAATCATTTTTGGTGTTATCCTTATCAGCGCATGGACTTTGCATAGAAGGGGGGAGGGGGGGGGGGGGTATCACTTTGATATTTTTTATTTCGCTGTACCTCAAAAATTAGAATTAGAATGCATTTACTATGGGTTCTACTGAATACTATATTTTTTTGTGAATGAAATTCTCTTTACTAACAGAAACAACACTGAACTCGGTCAACAGACCATTTTTCTATGTAAAACATGCAAAATAACACCACAGATAGGAGTCTCGATTAACCGAATCACTGTTAAAAAGAGGATGGAATTTAATACATAGTGCATCACTTGTATCCGATTTAGTATTTAATTCGTACGTCACTGCGTCGTCACTTATGAAATACTATTAATTATCCGTCCTTGTTTTACATGAATTGAAATATTATTTTTTTCTAAATTTCAGGTTGTGAAAAATCATGTAGAGACAAAGTGTAAATGTCATGGAGTTTCCGGGTCATGTACAGTTCAAACATGTTGGAGACAGTTGTCGCCCTTCAATATTATAGGTGAAATATTGAAGAATAAATACGAAAATTCACAGCAAGTTGAAATAGACAATAATCATGCAAATAGGAAAACAGCGCATAAAAGACGTTCGACCAAAATGAGTGTTGTGGCTAACAAAATGCCACCTAGGCGTATGGAAATGATTCACATAGACAGTTCGCCTAGCTTCTGCAGACAAAGTAGGTATTCCGAAGGAACAAAAGCGCGGGAATGTATCAAAGATCGTAATTGCAATTCCATTTGTTGTGGGCGTGGTTATAATGTACAGACAAAGACTGTATCAAGGCCATGCAAATGTGAAGTGGTTTGGTGCTGTCAATTCCGATGTCAGCAGTGTCTTATTGATGAAGAAATACATTCATGCAAATGAACTTTGCGATGCATTATGGGAACAAAATGTTCATCGTTGTCCAAATAGAATCTTAGAACAAAAAAATAATAATAAAAAGTTAGCTTTTTTACATTTTAATGGGTGCTACTAATTGTGATCAGACAAAATTGTCTCAGTCATCGAAACGTTTGAGGCAGCTGTTACTTACCCTGTCAGACTAAAGCCTTAAACTGACATTGAAAAAGGCAAAGCGTTGTATCGAGTTTTGATGACACAAACTGTCTTCCGTTTAAAACCAAAGATCTATAGATGTTTATATAGTGTATTTATTTATTTTATACATTTTAGACTTTAATTTATACATTGATGCATTATTTTGTATATATTTCATGTCATCTGGGATAACTAATTGTCTGTACCAGATATTGTTTCATCTTGCTTACAAATCCATACTAACATGATGTTTTAGTTCTTTTGATATAACGGCCTCTTATTCAAATACAGGAAGCTAATTTGTAAACAAAAATCCTTATTTTTGAATAACAAAATCAGAAAAAAACCTGATTTCTCCTCAATTCAAGTCGTAACAAATCTGGTTCTAAAGACGGACCCACTGAAGTTCACTTGTCTGTCCATCGACACTAATATATCCATTTCAAACTTTCGCATTGATCTAACCCGAATAATTCAGTCGTTATATTCCGCTGATCTACGAAGGCTACAAGTGTGGGAGAAAATCGGACACGGAAAGGGCTTGAATTATTCGAGTTAGCATTGATCATGTCTTGCAGCGTAATATCACATGAATATCAAAAGTCTATATATTTGGTTACACACTGGTTAAATTTGCTTCAATCGTTAGTTACACGACAGGTGGTATATACGGACAAGGAAGTTCCAACTTCCGGAGCATATAAGTTTACCGTTTTATTTTAGCGAGGGTCGTGTTGTTGCTACTATGTATTTTTTTTTTAAATATTGTTCGCTTTTTATTATCTACAACATAATGTTCTTCACCCCTCCTGTCTTTTTTGGTATCTTAGAAATACATACATTACCACGAAAAATACAAACTCGTGCCCATACGTTCCCATGGTTGTATAAAAGAGGTGAAGTTAATAATTTTTTAAAACAATCACTTGAACGTTTGTATCAACCTTTTCCCTAATTATATTCTACGCTTCTGTGCAACACAGATTATTTTAATTCTATTTCGCGTGAATGTTTAAAATACAATTATAAAACTGACTGATACAAATGCCGTACAGATTCAAATGTTTATCTTCCTTAACACAGTTATATACCCTTTAGGTCGTCTCAAATCCGTAGATAAATAAGGATATGTGGTATGATTGCCAAAATAAGAAAACTATCCGCCAAAGTTCAAATGAACTGGATGCTAGCAATTATAGGCAATCATACGGCCTTCAACCATGAGAAAAACCCATACCGTATAAAAGGCTATAAAAGGCCCCGAAATAACACATGTGAAACAATTCAATTGAAAAATCTAACGGCCTAATTCATAACAAAACAATTAACGAAAATCAAATATGACAGACATGAACCAACAACAACCACTGAACTACAGGCTCATTACTTGAGACAGACACATAAAGAATGTGGCGAGGTTAAACATTTGTGTGAGCTCCCAACCATCCAATAACCTAGGACAGTGGTGTTACAGCACAACATTAGAACAAACTGTAAAAATCAGTTGCAATTGGCTTAACTCAAAAGATCAGTACAAGACACAAAAACAACTAACATAAAAACAATAAACACCAAATAAGAGTACTAGCAGTTACATGTACTGAAAGCTAGTTCAAGGCCAATTACAACTAACAAATAAATTATGTTCTCCCAAACTGAAGTTCTCGGACCTGATTTCTGTTAGAAGTTCATAAGAGCATTTATACAAATGAATGTTCTATCGATCATGTTTTGTCGGTCCTTCGATGCGAATATCACGAACATAGTCAGGGGTAAGGGTTTGACATGGTGTTATCTGTCCTGTCCTTAATTTTTACATTATTTCGCAAAGGTTTGTGTTTTTTCGCAAAGGTTTGTGTTATTTCGCAAAGGTTTTCATTATTTCGCAAAGGTTTGTGTTTTTTCGCAAAGGTTTGTGTTATTTCGCCTAGGTTTGCATTATTTCGCAAAGGTTTGTGTTATTTCGCAAAGGTTTGCGTTATAACGCAAACATAGGAAGAAATAAAAAAAATTTGTGGCACTAATACGCTTCCGTAGATAACTACAGAGAGGAGCTTCGAACACAAACAAATCTGGATGTTAGAGGTTTATTGGTCGATACTACTGTTTGTGTACTTTTTAAGACCCCTGTTGTATCATCCCTCAATGCTTCAATTTTAGCCACATTGTACAATAACACATTCACAATTTTTATTAAACGTCAGTAACCAATTGTAATCTTAAAAAAGGGTTCATTTGTCTCTGACAATGATGACTTCTGAGGGTTTTTATTTTTTGTTATATGTCTTCATTATAAAAATAAGGACACGTTGTAGGATTGCCAATGAGAAAACTATCCGCCAAAGGTCATAGGATGTGGATGTAAGTATTTGTGGGTTACCGTATGACTTTCAACAATAAGTTAAACACATAGTGTGTAGTCAGCCTCGGTATTCAACCAACGACAGACACTGAATTACAGACTCCTGACTTCGAACAAACATATTAAGAATGTGGCTTGGGTGACCATGTTTATGAGCGATCACCCCTCCCTATAACATTGAACAGCCATGTTGCTGATTAATGAACTCACGTATTAAAGTTCATTGTATTGAAAGAATTCATCGTCATTATACACAGACATACATAATATTTGTTTTGCGTCATTCCCTAACCGATCATTCCCTACCCGAACAAATTCTTAAAATACAAGCGACTTTGTTTCGTCATGTAATAGTCAGTTCGATTAGTTTGTTAAACTTAAGGTGTGCAGCTTTAAAAAATCGGGGAAATTCGTCACATACATAGTCAACGCTTTGGTACCAACAAGATTTATAACGTAATTTCTGAAATTCTCCGTTGATTAATTACGATATACATTGTATTCATTGTTAAGACACAAAGGTTCTACAATGTTATGTCCTGGAATTGAAAATATGTAATAGTAATTGTTATACGCAGTTTTGCAACACCGCGTTGAAAAATACAATTGAAAGTTAATTTTGATTTAAGTATTTCATTAACTCGCATTGTTTTCTTGAACGTTCTTAATGAAGATTAATAAAGAGAGGAGCTTCGAACGAAACGTAATCTGTATCATCCCTCAGGTATTCAATGCTTCGATTTAGCCACATTTTACAATAATTTAATTTTGGATGTAACACGTCTTCTGATTGGCTCTAAGTGTTTTGTCTATCAGCTCATAGACATAATTTTGTCATGTGACCGTGACGTCACCAACGTTTTTTTCAAAATGTACTCCTTAAAATGGAATTTAGAATTAAATTATAGGGAATGACTGTAATATTTTTCTGTCTATTCGAAACAACCTGAAAAATGTGTTGCACACCTTAAATAACCCGCTACGCGGGTTATTCAGTGTGAACCACATTTTTTATGTTATTTCTTCATAGACAGAAAAAATATTGCAGTCTTTCCTTAAAATAACATAACATATACAATTTCTTATAAAGCGTCAGTGGCCAACTGTGATCTTTTAAAAAAAAGGATTCATTTGTCTTCAACCATGAGGTGTTCTCTTTTGCGTTATATGTCTCTTCTTTATAAAAATAAGGACATGTGGTATGATTGCCAATGAGACAACTATCCATCAGATACCTTAAGGCGTGGATGTAAGCATTTATATGTTACCGTACGGCTTTCAGCAGTGAGCAAAAACCAAACTGTATAGTCAGTTATAAAAGGCTCTGGAATGCAACCAACGACAATCATTAAATCACAGGCTGCTGATATTGTGACAGGAATATAAAGAACGTGGCTGGGTTAACCATGCTTCTGAGCGCTTAACCATCCCTTTAACATTTGACAGTGGTGTACAAGCACAAAACAAGAAATAATTGTGAAAAATCAGTTGGAAAAGGCTTGCCTCATCAGATCGGTAATGACCACAAAAAACAATTACCAAAAAGACAAAAGGTAATGTATCCCTGTTGAAAGCGTCCCATTAAACTTTCAAAATTAACAACAGCAACAATTTTATATACTAGTATATAAAATAACTCCAGCTGGATCGACACCACAGTTACTTATTTTCTAGTCACTGATTCGAAAATTTTCACGTGTAATGAGTCCATTTATCTGTTTACGAATTGTGCAATTTCAGTATTTTGCTACAATTTGTCCATATTATCAGGGAACTTAACTGAACTTATTAAAGGATAGTTCAGATAATTTGTTCGTTATTGCTACCAAAGCACAAAAATAACCACGTATTAGCAGAATGAATATGGAGAATTACCTTCGACATTTCGGAATTTCAGTAAATGATTTTTAATAGAAAAATCATAGCTTTGAAAAAATAAAATATGTTGTTGAGTAATGAACGCACATTTTTAAGTTCATTGTATTAAAAGAATTCGTCTTCTACACAGACAATATGATTGTTTTGAGTCATGATTTATTAACAGAACAAATTCTTAATTTACAAGCGACATTGTTTCGTCATGTATTAGTCAGTTCGATTAGCCCGTGTTACTACGTAATTAAATGTTATTTCCAAGGTGTGCAGCTATAAGAAACAGGGGAAATTCATCATTGTTATTAACGTCACATACATAGTCAGCTTTGGTACCAATATGATTTATAACGCAATTTCTAAAATTCTCCGTTGATTATAATGAAGATATATCATTAAGACACAAAGATTCCAACTCTCTCAGACACAGTTGACCTGAGATGAATTTGGGTTTTTGTAATGTTCCTTTAGATCAAATAGCTCCAAACGTCTCTACTCTTTACATGTGAATACATCATTAGTTTTTAAAAATTTTGGTTTGAGCGTTCCCGATGAAAGGAAATCCAGAAAAACGCACGAAATTAACTATGTATTATTTTCATACAAATAATGCTGTGTATGATTTAAGTACTGTTACATCGAGTTAAAAAAAAAAAAGAAAAAAAAAAAAAGAAAAATAAAAAACAACGGAGGAGGAGTGGTCTCGGTGATTTCACGGGAGACAACTGTTAACACGAAAACGAATGTTCAATTTTCCGTTATTACTAGTTTAGTTTATGATAACGTCGTAATAACGTAATCTTAACACATAACTAAATTAAATCTGACATATTAATAATTTCGCTAATTACCAATCGAACATTTACAAAGAGAACCAACCACATTTTGCGCACTGCATTTGAAGTTCATTGGGAGCTGTTGAAATACATTTTCCCGCAGAATATGAGACGACAAATTAGAACACATATTTTCCAGGACAATTTATGGACATTTCTCTAAAACAACGCAC